ATGCGCACGTGTCACGGTGAATCCGTTACACGGCGAGAGACGGCGACGCTTTGGGAGGGAAGCTTCGTCCATCAGTGGACAGATCACGGCTGTTGACGACGAAGCGAGGCTCATTCGGCGAATCGCCGAGCGGCTGAATCGCTCCACACCTCTCCGACGCGTCGGTACGGGAATCCAGCCTCGCAGACTTCGGAAAGGGAAACCAGAAAGTTGGCCGACAATACGGTACAACTTTTTGTTTGTTGTTATATATATATATAAGCAGCCTTATATATTGTTGTCGAAAGCCCATGCGGTAATTGGTGACAACTCGTAACGTTGTTACACTGCACACTTTATATATATAACAAAATGAGAACTACAGCGGGTAAGCAGTCAATGCAGATCGACTCGGCTAAATCATAATAACGTAACAAAACAAAACAAACAAAAAAACATCTTTAGCATGGTAAAGTCACAGCCCTGAAATGGCTTGCTCGAGCCACTGCTGGTGAAAAGACCTCAGCTCGAGGGAGTTCTCGATAGTCCCCTGGAGAGGATATCCATACCCCCACCACACAGAAGTTGCCAATCGACTAACTGGCGACCGAAGATTCAACTCGAGAGGTGAACTTGCAAACTGGCTTCGCGAGTGCATCAGCACCCCATGGGCTGTCCCCCCGTTGGATGAACGCACTCACGGGGCGAGACTGAAGCCCTATCAATTGTACGAACCGAGGACCAACTTTAGGGCAGGTTACGGCAATTCCCCGATTTACGTCTCCCCCTGTGACGTCATCTCGCAAACACGTCGTCACTTTATCATCAACACCGCTCCTACCCGACTTGCGTCGCCTCAAACCCCGCACTCACGTCGCTTGGACGGCACCATCCGTTACTCTCTCGTTACCCGTCGTCTCTCAGCCTTTGCCTCCACCAACACCACCACCACCACCTACTCTGTCAATCGCTTCGATTTACGTCGCTTCTATATTCGTCATTGCGCCTTTCAGGAACGTATCCCCAACGTAAACCGGGGTGTTGCTGTACTACCGAATTTTTTTTGCACGTTTTTTGAAAGTAGGGACCACAATTAATGAAATACCTACGCCATCAGATGGATCGTCACTTTTTGGGGGTCACTCTTTTGATATGTAAATGTATCATATTTATTGCAGTGATATGAATCCAAAACATCAATAACAATTAGCAGCGCTTTAGTCAATCGTTAGACGGTAGGACGGCCTCCCATTGCTGCATCAGTCATGGGGTTTATTTGGCCATACTTCACCACGCTGGTCGGTGTGGGTCTTTGAAGGGGGTGGGGCCGGTTCATATAGAATTCGCCACTGATGTTAGCCGTGGCCAGGAATCAAACTCAGTAATATTTCTGGGTTTAACGAAGCATAACGAACGCCCCACCGCGCCACTTGATTCAAACATACTGTATGTAATAGGGAAATGCAAAATAAGCTTTTTCCAAGAAAGCGTCACTCATTCTTCACTTTTTTTTGTCAGGATGGCGATACAACTTAGATGTTTGGACAATCCGTGTTTGAAGAGTATTTCGCCTGTGGAGGAATCTATGAATTCTGAGCTGTGTGCATATTCAATCGCAGCGTTTGTACACACGTGTAGAATTGTGAACAAAGATATTTCGATTAAAAGCTTTCGTGACTGCAAGGATTCATCTTCTTTGGTTCTTTCGGACAAGTCACGTAGAATGAGAATAATAGAAACGTCGTGAGAATTTTATTGTGTTATTTTATTTATTATTTTATTCTCATTCTACGTGACTTTACCGAAAGAACCAAAGAAAAAAACAAAGATATTGTTTTTTATATAGCCGTAATTCCACGCATGTATTTTGAGCACGAGACACATTATTCTAAGAGAACAGAATTTAGGGGTTTGAAAACATTTCCACTAATTTGTGAGCAATTAATGTTTGACTTGTAGTGAGGTACAAATTAAAGCAAATTTGAATGGAAAATCAGAAAAAAAAACATTCTGAGTTGAAAAAACCCCCTTCATTCTAGATTAGAGAGAGAGAGATCCAGTGCACACACACACCTGGCTTTTACGCCATATCTCTATGATTACAGTCGTGACGCAAGTACAAAAAGCCATACAGGCTTAGTTAAGCATCTGTCCACAAAGGACAAGTGTCAGTGTTGTGCATCAACATTGCGTCCCATTGCTTAAGGCGCTTGTGCACAGTAATTCAAATCTGTAAATGACGGGGGGGGGGGGGGGTGGGGAGAAACCCCCAATCACAACACCAACAAAAATCGAGTAGATTTAACAACGCAGAAAGGCGGGCAACGTCTGATGTACAACAGCTCCCTTTCTCCGCCTTCTCCAGACCAGCAGGCTACAAGAACGAATGCTGACCGTGCGATCGGCGTTGTCGTTTAGGACCGCCGACTCGGGAGAGTTTGAGAACGCGTGGCCATCGCAACAGCGGGTCGCATTGCAACAGAGAGACGCAACTGTAGACCGGTTTCGTCCTCGTTAGGGCTCATCAGTACGCTACAGCACATTCGTCAACATGTTCACAGCTACCACGCGGGCGCCTCTGTGGGAGGCACGTTGTACAGGGTGGCTCAGATGTCTTGTGACCTCCCCCCCCACCCCCCCCCCCCATGTAATTCTCTAAGACTTAATATTTATTTAAGGTTTATTTAAAACAGACATGAATATTCAACGGGGAAAAAAAACATTAGGGGTCAGTTAATTTGGGGGGGGGGGGGGAGTGTCACAAGACATTTGGACCACCATGTTGACATAAATTTACTGTAGAATAGTTTTACATGCCGTGAGCACTTTCACCAACTCACCTGCCAACTTGCACGCATGCACTCGCATCTAAAGTACAAACAACAACAAAAACCACGCGACCTTCTTTAAGCCGAGGCAGCAGCAGGTAAAATCCATTGCAGGGAATTCCACACGGAAAAAAAAAACAGTTGTTGAGCCACTTGAGGTTTCTCAGATTTATTTGGCCCAAGAAGTGTCACGGCTTTTCGCGGTCCCCCCCGCCAAGACACGCCGTCGATCCCTGTTTTGTGCAAATTCGTCGCCTCTTAAGCGGTGAGTTTTGGGGGCACTTCAGTGTTGTCGATTTCAAACAAATCACACCCTCGCCAATTCGCTCGGTCGCGTTGCGAGGTCCCCTAGCGCCGCCTCGTGCTGAATTACCGGGGTAGGTTTCGCACGTTCCGGTTCCCAATGAGGACAACCCCCCCCCCCCCCCCACTCTGGAAACGCAGCGTTCAAATGCGCGTACTCGTACGTCTGTTGAACTTCTTTCACGCCGTACGTAGCCGCCGACGGCCGTGCTCGTCGGGAGGTGCGGTGGAAGGGACGACGAACTGAACGCAACAAAAAAAACAGCAGTTCTAAACGAAATGAGTTTTCGGTCGAGATTTAAAATCGCATAGTCCCAGTGGCCTCCTAATATCGGAAGGAGAAGAAGCGGTTCCTGCGGCGACCGTCTTTGTTCGATGGCTAGCAAAAATGTAGGGCCCAGGCAGCTAAGACCTTATCCCCCCCCCCTCCAAACCATCAGTTCCATAGTTCATTTATTAGGTGTAGCCCTGTGAGCCATTCGGCTCTTGAATCGGGTGCAACCGCAACAAACCAAAAAAAACATTAACAAGAAAAACATCTTAAAAGTGGCTACGCGCAACAGAAAGCACCGGTACACATCAATACTGTGCTCAATCACCTGTTGCCCCGTATGTTGTGGTTCTTTCGGTGAAGTCACTGAGATAGAAAAAATAAAACAGCGAGCGTACCGGGAGTCTATAATGTGGACTGTAGCCTGGTAGACTGTAGCTTGGTTTTTAAGCTGGTGAGCGTACTGGCAGTCTATAATGTAGACTGTAGTAATGGTTATTAAACTGAACCTGAGTGAGTGTACTGGCAGTCTATAATGTAGACTGTAGCAATGGTTATTAAACTGAACCTGAGTGAGTGTACTGGCAGTCTATAATGTAGACTGTAGCAATGGTTATTACACTGAACCTGAGTGAGCGTACTGGCAGTCTATAATGTAGACTGCAGCAATGGTTATTAAACTGAACCTGAGTGAGCGTACTGGCAGTCTATAATGTAGACTGTAGCAATGGTTATTAAACTGAACCTGAGTGAGCGTACTAGCAGTCTCTAATGTAGACTGTAGCAATGGTTATTAAACTGAACCTGAGTGAGTGTACTGGCAGTCTATAATGTAGACTGTATCAATGGTTATTAAACTGAACCTGAGTGAGTGTACTGGCAGTCTATAATGTAGACTGTATCAATGGTTATTAAACTGAACCTGAGTGAGTGTACTGGCAGTCTATAATGTAGACTGTATCAATGGTTATTAAACTGAACCTGAGTGAGTGTACTGGCAGTCTATAATGTAGACTGTATCAATGGTTATTAAACTGAACCTGAGTGAGTGTACTGGCAGTCTATAATGTAGACTGTATCAATGGTTATTAAACTGAACCTGAGTGAGTGTACTGGCAGTCTATAATGTAGACTGTATCAATGGTTATTAAACTGAACCTGAGTGAGTGTACTGGCAGTCTACAATGTAGACGATCATGTAGACTCGTCATAGTGGGGGGGGCGGGGAGAGGGGGCGGGGGGGTGAGGAGGGGGTGGGCGGAGCGGGTGGGGAGGGGGGCGGGGCGTTGAATATTTTGTGTATCATACCACGTGACAGCCAGCTCAGGTCGAAATTTAGCCCTGGGAAAGACTCAGCACTTTGGATTACATTTCGGGTCGTTGAATAGTAATAATCATAATTGCCGTACAATATTGGAACAAGTGTGCAAAATGTACTTTCAAATTTGCTTTGAAGTTACGAAATTAATTTCAATAAATACCACACAATCATTAATGCTAACTCGTGGGGGTATACATTAAAGCCTTTTAATTTTAACATACACATATACTCTAGGAGTACCTCCAATGGCTTCATATAATTGTGGTGTTTGATTAGCAGGTGTCAACAATTGTTTCATATATATATCTTACACGTATTAAAAACAATATTGAAATCTATGCAGGAAAATGCAGTAGCCCCTTCGTCTTTGGTACGTTCGGATAATTGTTCGTGATTTATTTATTTGCACGAAAAATGACACACTTAGTCAACTCTGGCATGCTTCATCGAGTCTCAACACTCTTCAGCAGGGTCTTGTTAACGTTCGCGGTGGGTGGGGGGCAACTTCACTGCTGCCGTGTCTCCCGACGGAGTCATTTGCAAGGTAATTCTTCTCACTTGACTCATTTGGGCCGTGACGCCGGCAATCGAGGCCCGCCCTTTGTCAAATAATCTCACGGAGCGGGGGTGGGGGGGGGTCTCTTTCAACGTCCGCGGTTCCAAGCGCGCGAGCCTCTGCAACCGAGGCAACGAACCGTCGGGCGGAGCACGAAGGTCGTGACCTTTGTGCTGTTAAGTCTGAGAGCCCTCGCACCTCATCGATGGCCACTCAGCACTGTCAAAGACACAAGCAACAGTTAGTTGTCCGCGAAATGCTGAAACCTGCATCGCGGCTTAAACGTACGAACAAATCACCCTGGGTCGGGTCTGGTAAGTATCTATTTAAGACCGGAGCAGGAAGAGGCCTTCTCCACAACTCTGCCTGTTGCCTGATGATGCCGGTTGTTGTAATTAACGGCGAAATGTCACGGTCCTCGAATTGTATATGTTGTCGTGGGTTTACTCTCCCAACACACAACCGGTGTGCTCAACTAGTAACTAATTGGCATGTTTTGTTTACGTGACAAACCTTACTAATTGGCTGTGTCGGTGGTGGCGGGTTTAACGACACATTTATATTTGTGCGATCTAGCCCAAAACAACTGTATCATGGATAATATTGGTCGCGAAAGCCTGCGCGCTAATCTGGATGGGTGATTGGCTTCCAGGGCTTGACATGTGGTGCTGTCGACGTGAGGATGCTGCCTGCCACCCCCTCGCATACCACAGCGATGTTCCTGGTTTGCTCTGGTTCCTACGGATTCCTCCCACATTTACCAAAAACTCATTCATGGAATCGAAGAAAATAATTAAGGTTCCTGCAGGCCCTAGGCACTTCAGTGATAACTTCAGTGATAACTTCAGTGATAACTTCAGTGATAACGCGTTGTCTTCCCTTGCACTACTCCCGATTGAGAATGAAATTGCACAACGAAAAACGATTTTAAGATCTTATTGCTCCTGTGTTAATTTCTCTCACCTTATGAAAAAAAAACGATTGACATGACTATGCTGCCTCTTTGTATATTCACTGTGCCTATTCTTGCTATGTAAATATATTTTTTCAAGAAAATATGTTGGTTAAAATGTTTTATCACACAAACAACAACAAAAAACATGGTCACGTTTTTTTTTTTTCATAGGTCCTTTAGTTTTCGTAGGCACGAGGCACAGTGCCTACCGCGGTCTCTTGAATAATACGGCCATGGCTGTGGCCACTCGCCACGGTGCTCCCGGCAACCAGTCAGACCCCTCGTGAGAAATCAATCACCGAGGAGGAGGAGGAGGAGGATGATCACCGATGCTCGGGTGGGAGAGGGGAGGAAGGTGGCCCGGGGCGCACCTTGGTGTGGCCGGGGTGGTGAGCGTGCCGGCCGTGCTCCGGCCGTCCCATCTCCAGGTCCTCGAGGCGCTGCGTCAGCGCCAGCTTCTGCTGGATCGCCATGCGCAGCAGCGAGTTGAGCGTCCTCTTCTCGTCCTCCGCCGCCAGCAGTTGGCGCTGCATGTCGTCCAGCTGCAACGCGTACTCGTCGCACCTGGGGGGGGGGGACGGGGGGGGGGGGGGGGGGGGGGGGGGGGGGCCAGGTGGGAGGCACACAGGAGCGCGGCCGGCCCTGTAGCGAGCGCCATCTCGTTAAAACGCGGGTGGCGCGGGCCGGGTTGTGACTCACGGCGACGCACGTGTCGCGGTTGACGTGGAGAGATGGTGAGCGCATGGACGGGGACGAGTGACGGCGAGATGCGCGCTTGCCTATCGTGCGCTCTGCTCTGGCTCTGCACGTACGCATGTTGAACTTTTTTCACACCGTACATGAGGCGACCACGCTAATCGGAGGTGCGGGGGGGGGGGCGGGGGGGGAAGGGCAATGAACTAGACACAAAAAGCTGTTCTAAAGAAACGAGTTTTCAATCTTCGTGATTCAAGAGTGCACAGCTCCAGTGGCTTCCTAATATCGGAAGGAAGAGCGTTCCAGAAGGCCGCAGAAGGGCATCTGAGCGCGATGCGGTGGCCATCACAAGGGGCTGTCACCCCTTTGTGTGTTTGAAGAAAGACTTTGAGTAAACCCCCTTATTTAATTACCGCCTTCATTATCATCACGATCATCACTACCATTATCACTGCCGTTATTACCATCATCATCATCACTACCATCATGATTACCAGCATTACCACTGTCATCATCATCACCATATTCACGATCATTCCCGCCACAATCGTCATCACTAATACTATTTTCTGACTTGACTTGAAGACTTTAGTAGATGACATTGATGATTATTCATCTTGTTTTAGTCAGGAAAGCCTCACCGAATCGCATTAGAAATTGGTCACGGAGGCACCTTCCAAGTTATATTCCTGGGTCTTTCGGTAAAGTCACGTAGATTATTTCAAAGAAAATAACCAAAAATAACAAAACAAATTTTTTTTTAGTTATTTTCTTTGAACCTATCTACGTGACTTTACCGAAAGACCCAATACTAATTCCTGCAGTCACGAAAGCTTTAAGTCAAGAGTTAACCTTCAAAGTTTGTTTAACACGTAGGCTTTCGCGACCAATATCATCCATAATAGAGGTTTATTGGGTTAGATCGCGTAAATATATAAATGTGTCGTTAAAACCCGCCACCACCCGACACAGCCAACTAGTAAGGGTTGTCACGTAAACAGAACGTGGCCAATTCGTCACTAGTACAGCAACACCGGTGTGTTGGAGAGCCAAGCCACAACATTTACAAACTGAGTACGACGTTTCGCCAGTAATTACAACTAGCTTCATCAGGCGACAGCCAGATTTATGGAGAAGTCAAACAGTTCCTTATACACATCTACGCCTCTATATAAGGAACGAAACAGTTAGACTTCTCCACAAATATGGCTGTCACCTGATGAAGCTAGTTGTCGGGCAGTGGCGGGTTTAACAACACATTTATATATTTACGTTATCAAACCCAAAAAAACTTCCAAGTTGTTGCAGGAGGGGGCGACGGCTGCTCTGTTTATTATTCAAATTGAGCGATTGAATGAATGGATGATCAAGGGGTTAAATGAATTAAGGTTGTGCAGCGGTGGTGAGATGTTAACTGCTTCGCCTGGTATACAGGAGGTCGTGGGTTTCATCCCAACCGTGATGCTTGCTGTATATTTGGAGTTTGCACGTCTCTCTCCCCGTGGTCACGTGGATTTTTCTCCGGGTCCTCCGGCTTTTCCCTGCACGTTTAAAGTCGACATGCGTTTCGAGCATTTGTCCGTGATAAATTTCCACGTGAAAAGCCACTTTGCTGGGCTGTCATTTGTGGCTGGGTCGCTTCTGACAAAGAGCTACGCAGATTCCATTGCCGATTAAAAACTAATTCCTTTAGAACAGCCTTCTGTGTTTACTTTGTCGTCCTTCCCCCCGCACCACTGATTAGCACGGTTGGCTACGTGCGGTGCCAAAGACGTTCCAACATATGTACACAGATACCTGCTTTGCGTATGTTCATCGTTTAGTTTCGAACGAACGAATGGGTGGATGGATGGACTACAGGTGCCAGCGTGCTTTCCCCACCGAGTGGTGAACATGTTGCGCAGCGAGGAGAAGGTGATCGCGTCCTCCTTGAGAGCCTTCAGCTCGTTGCGCATCTTGACCACCGTCTCCATCACCAGGCACTTCTCGTTCTCGTATCGGCTCTTCAGGTTGGAGAGCGCACCCTCCGCGGTCTGCGACGGACAACGACATCGCGGGTCACGTTCGTGAGAATTTTACCGCGCTATTTCATTTTATCAATTTATTATTTTATTCGCATTCTACGTCGTGACTTTACCGAAAGAACCAAAGAAGGAGGGTCACGTTCGTTCGCTCCGCGGGCTCGTCGGAACGCGTGCCCCTCCGCTGCTGGACAACGGCGGCCACCCCGAAGCTGTCGCCGTCTCTCACGATCCCGCGACGTGTGACAATCCGCACGGAGAGTCGGTTCTCATCGCAACGTCTACCCCTCGGATGGACTTCCTCGCGGACGCGTTTCCATTCCTCGGCTGCCAGCCGGTAAACATCATCACCCGTTCACCTCGGACCCTTCCGGCGACGCGTCCTGCGCAAGCCCACCTACTGACGGCGAAGCTAGGGGAAGTCTGTTTATCTTGTTTTTATCAAGTCGCAGTTAACCGGAAAGCACATATTCTTGGTTCTTTCGGTGAAGTCACATAGAAGGGAAACAATACAATAATAAAAATATAAAACAATAAAATTCTCACGACGTTTCGACTGCAACACAAGCAATCATCATCAGGTGTGAAAACCACAAAAAAGCCACCTTTCAGACCGCATCCATTATTTTTCGTCTCCCCCCTCCTCTTTTCCGAACATAGATGGACTCGTCCATCTGAACAAACTGTCAAATCTCTCTCCGTGATGCTAACGTTAAAAATAACCGCCACTTTTTTCAAAATTTCTTGCTGTGGTTTTCACACCTGATGATGATTGCTTGTGTTGCAGTCGAAACGTCGTGAGAATTTTATTGCTTTATATTTTTTATTATTGTATTGTTTCCCTTCTACGTGACTTTACCGAAAGAACCAAGAATATGAATCCCTGCACTCACGAAAGCTTTAAATCAAAAGGAAAGCGCATATTCAAGGCAGCATTGACGGCCCCTGCATTGTCCAGACCGCACCCGCCAAGGTTTTCGTGAGATTGCCCCACCCCCTCCCCCCCAGCTGCATTAGTTTAATTTAATTGATCAAGATTTCGAGGAAACTGGCCAGCATTGAGCAAAACTTCGACCACTTTTGTTGCCCAGGCAACTTGAGAGCACAGACGAAGTGAGTGTTTCTAACCTCACGTTAAAACGAACAATAACGTGTTTAAGAATGGCAGTCAAGAGACAATAAGGTGTTTTGTTTTACTTAAACTCTCACCAATGGTCCCCAAACTATCCACAACACCGTTTCGGTGCCCAACCAGCCTGCTCTCGTTACTGAATTCAAAAGACCGCGAGACACCAACGGGGGAGGGGTGGGGGCGGTAGGGGCTAGGGGGGTGAAGGGGGACATGAGCCGACCTGCTTGTTGGCCTTGAGCACGATGCGCAGCGTCTGAATCTGCTCGCGCTTGGTGTTGAGCAGCGACTTGAGCTTCAGCACCTCCTGCGCCAGCGCCCCCTTGTCCTTGCCGGCGGAGAGCGCCTCCTCGTCGCGCGCCGCCGACCGCTGGCACGACACCTCGAGGGCGCGCTCCACGGCGCCCTGCAGGCGGCTCGCCTGCGAACGGATGACGGCCGTCAGGCTGCCGACGCCCATGGGCTCGGCCCGGACCGACGACAGCGGGGACGGCGGCACCGCGCCGGGGCCGCCGGGAGGATCGGCGATCGCGGCCGGGCGGAGAGGGCCGGGCGGCCCGTCGTGCGACGAGTCGGCGTCGCCCTCCACGGCGCTGGGCTCCTCTCCGCCGCCGTTCTTGTAGTAGTCCAGCATGACGCGCTCGGGCATTTCATTGTTGTGCATGCACACGCGGTTGTAGATGTTGGCAAGGTCCTCGCTGAACAGCACCAATTCCTCCTGGGCCGCGTTGAGCTCCTGCCGCGTCACCTTCACCAGATCCCGCAGTTTCCTCTCCCGCTCTTGCATCGATGACAGCTTCTCCGCGACGTTGCCCTCTCGCGACTCGAGGTCCAGGAGTTTTTCTTGCAGAGAAGCGATCTCCCCGTCGGAGCAGTCTCTCCGCGCTGCTTTGCCGTTAACGCCGTCCGTCCCATGGTTTCCCACGGAATGTTCCGGCGCGGCCGGGTAAATTCCACGGTTTCCGTTCTCCACGTTTCCATTGCTGTCACCCTTGAAATGAGTCACTTGGTTGAGAAGTTCTCGCTGATTGCTGAGAGTCTCTTCCGTCTGTGCCAGGGCCTTCTGGCATTCCTGCAGGTGTGCCTGAAGACCGTTATTTTCCATTTCAACCTGTGAAGGAGCAAAGGCAGATCACCCACTGCGATGCGTCGAAGGCAATCAAAATCAAAAGAGAAGCCGTTTTCTTTCGAATATGGTACGAAACTCGATATTCAAATGCATGTGAATACATACATACATACATTACGTCATGAAGCAGGTCTGTATAGAGCCGCATTCCGCTACGGAGCCGCAGGTTGCCAACCCCTGGTCTATGCGATCGCAGAGTTAAATTCTACTTTTCATATTAAACTATAAACAATTTTTATTTTACCAGGTAAGAACCACTGTGCTATATAGCTCTTTTTCAGAAGCTACCTGGCCACAAATCATAGCGCAATGAATTGGCTTATCATGTGAAAATTTATAGTAGCCAAATACTCTAAACGCGTGTTTCTAAACGTGGAGGGAAAAGCCGGAGGACCTGGAGACACGACGCGACCACGGGGAAAAAACGCACACTCCAAATATACAGCAGCAGGCGTCAGGGTCGGGATCGAACCCACGACCTCCTGTATACCAGGCGAGGTAGTTAACATCTCATAGCCACCGTGACGCCCCTGCACGTCGGTTTCCGCCCACGCACCGTACGTGTACTCATCGATGGAATTCGCCACGCAACCCCCGAATGCAGGAACCTCCTGTAAAAGGGGCTTGAGACTCCATGCAGCTTTCTTAGAAAAAATAAACGACAATATTACGAATTGTATTTTTTTAATGGGCTAATTTATGAAACTAAATTTATAACTTAATTGAGAATAAACGTAATTCGGTTAATTAGGTTAATGGAGCTTTTCATTTGTTCTATGTTGTCTTGTGTAGGGCACGCTACTCAGTTACAAGTCAGTAAGTGTCGCTGCTCCCAAGGGACCATCCGTTTAGGCAATGTTTACTCAGTGCTGGTTGCTAACAGATATTTTCATCACAGATTCCGAATTATGTCTATTCTCAGAAACACAACTCAAAAAAGTATCTCTGTTTCCCACTCAACTGACCATGGGGGCGGTGATCATCTCCCCGATTACACCTCTGAGCCAGTGCTATGCACTCTGCATTCTCATGGCAGGGTCGAGCTCATCCGTAGGACAACCCCCACCCTTGACGTCCACACATTGCGACACCCGTGCTTTGGACCGCCACAGCGACGGCGTGCCGAGGCGAAGCCCGACCAGGATACCATTTCTTGAATCCGCGACGTCGCCTCTCCCGGCGACGGAACTGGGACGCGGCACCTCTCACCTGCGCAAGCTGCTGCTGCAGCTTCTGGATCTCGGTGAAGCGCAGCTCGCTCAGCAGATCCGAGACGACGCCGGGAGCTGGCGCCCTGCCGTCCCAGCTCCGGCGATCGCCGGGCGAGCAACGCCCCTTCATCTGGCGAGCCCCCGGGACGTGGCCGTTCGCCGTCGTCGCGTCGTCGTCGAGCTCCGGCCGCTCCGGCGACGAGGCGTCGGCCGGGGGGACGCCGAGGGCGATCGCCCCGTCCCCGAAACCGGAGAGGTGGGCAAACTCCTTGCGCAGGAGGCTCTTCTGCTCGCGCTCCGCGGCGAGCACCTCGAGGCTCTCCTCCAGCTGCTTCTCGGCCATGGACTTGAGGCGGAGGGCCTCCTCCTGCTGGCTGTTGATGAACTCCACCTCCTGCTCCAGCTGCCGGATTTTCAGCTTGAGGCCTTCGTACTCCACCTGCCGCCACCACCGCAGCCACACGCGCGGGCGGTGCGCGTGCACGCACGGCGGTCAGAGGGCTCGTTCACGCGGCAGCGCGCTCTCAAGAGTGGTGACCTGGGTTCGACCGGGTGTTGAGCATTTATTGTGAAAAAAAAATGTATTCCGGGTGAAGCCCACTGAGCTACGTATCTCTTTTTCAGAAGCGACCTGGCCACAAGTGATAGCTCAACGAAGTGGCTTATCGCGTGGACATTTAAATCAGCCAAATACTCTAAATTCACGTTTCTAAATGTGAGTTAAGTCTGAACCAGTCCTGTAACCACCCCCCCCCCCTCTCTCCTTCATCCCTCCTTTGTTAGCGCACGTTTACCAGCATGGTGAAGTATGGTCAAACACTCCACGACCAAAAGGCATAGGGAGGCCTTCGTACAGCCATGGATTCACAAAGGCATAACAAGTATGATAATTGTTTATAATTTACATGAAAATTGTAGCTCTCTTTTGTCTACTAAATCACAAAAGGTTCTTCCTGTGAAATTACCGCAAATCTTTTTTGTTTGTTTTATTTTACACAGTTTTTTGTTATTTTTACGACCAAATGCTACCTGCATCTGGTGAAATACACCACGTGTGCGCATATCGTTACGCCCTAAAACAACTCTTGTTGACATTAAATGCTGCATTGGAATGAACTTCACATAAACAAGCACTGCCCTATCAAACGTTCGCAAAGAGTTTCACAAACTGTACATTTTACTTGTAAATTCAATTCGCTCGGGACCCTGGGTTCTCAACATATTTATCGAGACCAGAATGAAACTTAGGAAGAAAACTAATTAATTCCACAAATATAAAAGTCCAATATTTTTCGTAATGCAAACATGGTACAGTCTAAAACAGCGTTCTTCATCGCAGGCCCACCAGGAGCCACTGGCAGGCCCCTGGTGGGCTTCATTGCGGCCTATGACGTGCGGCCCCCCACAATACACAAAGAGTGGAAACACCCCCCATCATCATCATCATCGTGCCAAACCCCCAATGGTTTCAAATGTGCGGCGGCCTTTCTTATCGGCGAAAGTGGCCCCCATCTGAAAATTAATGAAGAACACTTGCTTAGCAGGTCTGGGGGGGTGTGGGGTGGGGGGAGGGTGATTGGTCAGGAGTCGGGGTGGTTTGAGGTATGGGGGTGGGGGGCTCAACCCCCTACCCCCCCATTGCTTAGGGGTCTGGTCTGCGGATGATTGTGGCTGGGTGCGTTTCTCCCACCTGGTTCTGTTTGAGAGTGGAGACCTGCTTCTGCAGGGAGATGTTCTCCTCTTCCAGCTCGCTGAAGTCCTGCAGCAGCCGGGCCTCCTGGAGCTTGTACTGCTTGAGCTCCTCCCGCAGGAGACCTCTCTCCGACTGCAGCTCCTGGACGCTCTGAACCGAGCAGCCGAGCGACGAGAGCCATGTCGCGTGGCGTGTCAAAGTGACGGAGCGCACCAGCCGACGCGCGGGCGAGCGAGTGAGAGAGAGGGTGAATGAGTTGCTCAGTAAGCTCGTAGAGTTAGTGAGTGGGTGAGTGAGCGAATTAACGCGTGGGTGGGTGGGCGGGTGGATGAGAGAGAGAAAATCAAACAGCGAGTGTGTTATATTCTTAGCTCTTTCGGTAAAGTCACGTTGAAGGGAAATAATAAAATAATAAAATATATATAAAACAATAAAAATTCTCACGACGTTTCAACCATAACACAAACGGTCATCATCAGGTTGTGAAAAACCAATGGCAAGAAACATTTGAAAGAAATGTCGGTTGGCATTTATTTATTTTAAAACGGTGTACTTATTTATTAGATTCGTGGGTGGGTGAATGAGTGAGTGGGTAAGTGAATGAGAAAGTAGGTGTTGGGTGGGTGAGTGAGTAAGAGGACAAGCGAGTGGTTAGTCAGTGGGTGGGTGGGTGCGTGGGTGAGTGGGTGTGTGGGTGGGTGAGTGCGTAGGTGAGCAAGCGAGGGAGCATTGGGTAAGTCAAAAATGGCCATTTACTTATTAATCGAAGAAAGCTTCACTGAGCTGCAGAACTCTGCTTCAAGGAGGATACTTCATTGGGGATTTTATTTTCAGGAAGTTTTCAGCCAATTGATGAGTTCTTGTACAAGTAGGGAGGAAACAGGAGCACCCAAGAGGAGGTGACGCTCTAACCCCCCGTACAGATGGAAACGGATGGCGATAAGACCACTCGCTGCACTGCCTTCTCCTGGCGAGCCAGGGTATGGCACCTCCTCGACACACCACGGGAAAGGAGCTTCGCGACATTTGTGTGGTGATCCACCAACCCTGGCTCATGCGTGCGCAGACGCCAAAGCCTGGCAAGTTGGGCGGGTGTATTGTTGTCATCTTGCCAGTACCCCTTGAGAATGTAATGGGAATCTGCAGTGTTTACCCTCGGTTATACAATACACATTATTGCGAGTAAAGCGAGCGAGTGGCCGCCGTCAACAGCATTTCCGAGTGTTCCTTCGAAAGCAGTTCACTGTGAGCTGAGCATGACTTTATTTTCCGTACGAAAATATGTTTTTTTTTTACTGAACAAACAAACGCTTTAGGTCCACACAGAGGAAACCTCTACACACCCGAGCATTCCATCTGTTTCCGATAACCCAAAACCGTTCCACGGCTTACATCGTACCACTCCAAATTCGACAATTTTTCTGTATTTGCACAGCACTGTTTAGCATATCTGTGTAGGTTTTTTGTTTTTAATAGTCAGCAACCGTTGTATTTTGACATTTTGAAGATGTATTTTTCTTTACACGTGCATTTATGTTCGAGAATCCCACCGTGAAAATAATTGTGTTCTGCCCTGGAGCTTGATAATTAGCGGCAATTTGTAACATGAATTTTTTTTTTTTATAATTGAAAATGTTGCAAAGCCTACAGCAAGAGAGTCATTCAAATTTGCATCTGCTCATGCTGGCGTGGGACGCAGGCCAAAGGCGATTTAATAATTTATACCACACCCCAAGAGCGTGGAAAGAGAATCTCTCACCGGGCCCGTGTGTGTGTGTGTGTGTTCAGTCAACTTTCCTCGGTAATTGCAGTCAATTAATTTGTACACACACGAGCCATTCATTTTCTGGAGAGAGCTAAACTTAATTAATTGATATAGCAGCCCCTAAAAACACCAGCCTCAAAAATCTGACTCTTACGCTGCGCAACTGCACAATTAGCCTGAATGTACGCAACTTTGGTGGCATAGACACACAGGTGTGTGTGGTGTGTATATGGAATGTGATAGTAACCTATTTATTTTGACGTAATTATATACATTTTTTTAGGGTTCCAGTTTTTGTTGATTCAGAGAGGTTCTAGATGAGTATATTTCGAATGAGAAGACGACAAAGACATGTGGGAAGAATGATGGGCAGAATTATATAGGCCACAGAAGGGTTGGGGGTCAAGATGATGTTTAGTAAAAGTGTGACCGAAGACGCGTCAGAGAGAGAGAGAGAGAGGCAGAGAGCCATAGGAAGAGAGATGAGGTTAGTCTTCAGCCTGGACTCGGAACACGGAGGCAGGGAATTCCAGACACAGGGAGCAGCAGCAGAGAAGGAGCGACGACTCGCACGCACGGCCTACCCTTATTCCCCCCAATGCAGTATCCACTTCCGACAAAACGTCGCTCACCTCGCTGAGGCCCAGGGTGAGGCAGTCGAGCCGCTGGGCTTCGGCCTGCGCGTTGCTGAGTGTCGTGCGCGAGTGACGCACTTCCCCCTCCAGGCGCAGGAACTCTGAGAGGTAGAACGCGTCCTTCCCCGCCGACTCGTCCAGGAGGAACTCCTCGCGCGTCGCCCCTTCCGCCACAGTCTGCCGCTGACTGCAGTACATCTGGCCCAGGGCCTGCGTGAAGGGCAACGACGGGAGAGAGAGGGTCGGTGAAACTAGGGACACATTCGTGGAAGGTCAGCGGATGCAGGAGGTCGTGGGTTCGATCCCGACCCTGACGCCTGCTGCTGCTGTATATTTGGAGTTTGTGGTGTCTCTCTCTCATCAACATCATCACGGTGGTTAGGAGATGTTAACTACCTCGCCTGGTGTGCAGGAGGTCGTGGGTTCCATCCCGACCCTGACGCCTGCTGCTGTATATTTTGCAGTTTGCGTGTCTCTCTCTCTCATCATCATCACGGTGGTTATGAGATGTTAACTCCCTCGCCTGGTATGCAGGACGTCGTGGGTTCGATCCCGACCCTGACGCCTGCTGCTGTATATTTGGAGTTTGCGGTGTCTCTCTTTCTCTCTCATCATCATCATAATCACGGTGGTTAGGAGATGTTAACTCCCTCGCCTAGTATACAGGACGTCGTGGTTTCGATCTCGACCCTGGCGCCTGCTGCTGTATATTTGGAGTTTGCGGTGTCTCTCTCTCTCTCATCATCATCATCACGGTGGCTAGGAGATGTTAACTCCCTCGCTTGGTATACAGGACGTCGTGGGTTCGATCCCGACCCTGACGCCTGCTGCTGCTGTATATTTCGAGTTTGCGTGTCTCTCTCCCCGTGGTGGCGTGGATTTTTCTCCGCGTCCTCCAGTTTTTCCCCTCCACAATTAGAATCAACGTGCATTTAGAGTATTTGGCCGCTGTGCATTTCCACGTCATCATAAGCCCTTGGTTGAGCTTTCATTTGTGGCCAGGTCGCTTCTGAAAAAGGGCTATATAGCTCAGTGGGCCTTAGCTGGTAAAATAAAAAAAAACAGTTCAATTGTTTTTTTTAGAATATACTCACCCCCTGCAATCGTAACGAGGAATTTCCACAACTGGCTCAGAGATGGGCACTGCCCCCTCACCTCCTTGGCATCCTTCTGGACCCGCAGCTGAGCTTCCTCCACCCATGTCAGCTCAGTGACCAAAGCCTGTCGCCTTTCTCCACCATGGCTACTATGATGGTGACGATGCTATTCATCACGAAGGTTGACGGTGGTGATTTTTTTTTGTATTACAGAATTAATGTCAAGTTGACGGTGTCAGCCCCGTCACCGATATTAGTCGCTGGTGACCGATGATTATGACCTTAATCTCTCTGCACTTCCACAGCAACAAGATTGGTGTCTCTGCATATACCCAAGACGGACCAGTACAGATGCAGTTGGAGATGGGCATACCGTATCTGGCAGTGGCTATGAGGGGCAAGCTTGCCAAGGCTTGTTTGGAAAATCAACATACCTGAAATAAAGATCCCATCATGGTGTCTCGACTTTGTCGTATAGGTCAAACACGTTGCAGTGCTCTTGCTGCGGTGTGTGGCCAAGTCTCCCAGACTGCACGCAATGTCGTCATATCTCGGAAACTAAGCCAGGTCTAGCCTGGATTACACTCGGATGGGAGACCACCTTGCGTGACAGGTGTTATAGGCTGTGGGGCTACGTAAGCGTGACGCAGCAAATGCCACTCTTGTTGTACACTGACAAGTCTAAAAGTGACCAGCGCGGTGCAGTATGGTCAAATGAACCCAACCACCCATCCAGCAGTGGATTGAACAAAGACGTTGTACGTGTTTGTTAATTCGGTGCGAGGATTGGTTGAAAACTGGTGTGATCGAAACGAAGGTTCGTTGCAGTAATGTGTAAAGTTTAAAATTGACCAACCCGCAATGACCAGCGTGGTGAAGTATGGTCGAGCAACCCCCCCCCCCCGCCCCCCGGCGTGGGGAGCTCCTCGCACGGCAGCGAATTGACAAACGTCGCGCGCATGAGGACGCATTACCTCCCGGCGCGTTCGTGAAACTTCTGACTTTTGAGTGTATTTCTGTCGTGTGGTGTTGTTGTTCGCACCGATCTTTGCCGATGGCTTTCTCACAGTCGCACAGAGCGGGCCGCGGCCCTGATAATGCACCGTCTGTCAGGAATGCGGTGAGACCTGTTTCCGACTGATTACAGCAGCAGGCAGCCATAACCGTGCCCCCGGGAAGGAGTTTCCTTCTTGCTCCAACGCATTGCAGTGCCGTTCTCGAGCCTGCATTTAGCGGTGCAAGCCGTGCACTGTGGCCCATATGTTAAACTCCGAGGTCGGGACTAAAAAAAAACGGTCCCTGCTTCTAAAATATATGGGAGGCATGGCCATCCAAATATCTTGGGCCCAGACCACGGTTGAACAGAGTTATTCAGAAACTTCTTCCAATTATCCGGAGTTATCTGTGATCATGCCCCGTGGAGAATTTGACTGTAACAGTGTATTTATTTATTTACAGGCCTCGAACACAAACCATGATAGACGACAACAGTTTGGGGAAGCCTTCATCCAGCAGGGCATAGATCATGGCTGCTAATGAGGATGATGGTGGACGCTAATTATCACAAAGACAACAATGATGAGGACGACAATGTTGCTTTATATTTGTTTAAGAGAATTGTGAAATTGATGGGTGTCAGTCCCGTCACCGATGACTGCACACCAAGGCCGTAGCCATGGAGTCAACATTGGGGGGGGGGACCAAATCTACCAGGGGGTCCCCCCCAGAAAAAAAAAATCTAAATTTGAAAACTAATTTCCTGCCTAAAATATTAAAAAATTCACAAAACATAGGATGGACTTTTTATTTATTTTTTACGATAATGTCTAATAGTGTTATTGTATTACATTGCTCTGTTTTTTTATTTTTTTTTACCTATTCTTGTTTCGTTGTATGTAATGGCAGAGATTAGGGATTAATAAAGTACAACCATAACCACAATCATATAAACAGGAATCTTTTTTTAGCAAAAAATTGGGGGGGGGGACATTTTGAGCATATTTGAATATTGGGGGGGGGGGGATGTGTCCCCCCCCCCCCCCCCCCCCAATATTTATTATAATTACGGCCTTGCTGCACACCAACCCGATCCTCAGTGGGCTGATGCCCGATGATTTTGACCTTAGTCGATCTGCACTCCCACACGCACAAGCTCGGTGTCTCTGCATACTCATGACGGATCGGTACAGACCCAGATGGAGATCAGTATACTGTATCTGGCAGTGGCTATGAGAGGCAAGTTTGCCAAATGGTGTAGTCTTAACTTGTTTGGAAAATCCAAATACCTGAAATATAGGTCCCATCACGGTATCTCAACTTTGTTGTATCGTAATAATAGGATTTCCCCATTTTTTCTGGCAACAAAGCTGAAACTTTTTTTTACAAGGATTGTTGTATCGGTCATACACGTTGCAAGTACTCTTGCTGCAGTTCTTGACCAAGTCACCCAGACTCAAAGCGGGGAGCGGTAGTGTAGCGGTTAGCGCACTGCGCTATAAACCCAGCAGCCCGCGTTCGCATCCGACTCAAGGCCACCAACACAATGACGATTATTTGATCCGGTCCTGCGCCTCCCCTAGGTAGACTCAAAATGTGTACCCGGTGCGATGTATAAACTTCGCCCCTGGGGAGACAAGGGTGTTGTGCTGGCCACCCACACCTTCATAGGTGCTCGCTAACAACACTTGCCCCAAGTCTGCTAAGGCTATACGCAGGATCTTTGTATTCTCAAATGCCATGTTATTTTCGAAAAAATATAAAATAAATATCCAGTGTCTAGTGCCGTCAAGAAACTTTAAACTGAGGTGGGCTATCTTCTAACCTTTGCATTATTAAAAGGACATATGACGTTTGCCTGGGGTTGCCAACTGTCCCGGTTTTCGCTGGAATGGCCTCTTTTCATGGTGGCTGTTCTGAAAAGATTTTACAAAATGTACAGGATGGTCCAAGTGTCTTGTGACCCCCAATTTTTCTTTTTTTTACAGAAATGAATATGCTAAAATATACATAGGGGGTCAGTTAAATGGGGGTCACAAGAGATCTAGACCACCCTCTACACCACTTAAGGCAATGTAAAAACTTAAATGTAGTTCTGGTGTCGTGGGATATTCATGCTCCCATGATACGTCCGAGTTTTCTTTGTACCTCAGAAGGTAGAGTATTATTAAATAATACACATTACATTTTTATTTAAAGCTTTCGTGACTGCAGTGATTCATGTTCTTGGCTCTTTCGGTGGAGTCGCGTTGGGGGGGAAGCAATAAAATAATATAATATATATGTTTGTTGTTTTGTTGTTTCCCTTCGGCGTGGCTTTGCCGAGGGAGCTAAGAATATGAATACACATTACAATTCCTTATAGGGGAAACACATACTAATTAACGGATTACTAACATAGCATATAATCACTAACACACATTACAACTAATTACTAATCTACAACTCATTACTAATCATAACCATTGACTGATTGCTAATCGATTATATAATTACAATACCCCCCCTCCGCCTCTAATCACTGCACCTGATATGAGTTAAGTGATGACGTCACCCTACTGCTCAATATAAAACCGGAAGCAAGCGAGGGCTTTACCATTCTGGCGAATTGCCTGATGATGCTGGATGTATTTACCAGCGAAACGTCGTACTCAAACTGTAAATGTTGTGGATTCACTCTTCAACACACCGGTGGGCTAAAGTAGTGGATTATTTGTCTTTTGTCAACGTGACACTTTCTTTGCTGATTGGCCGTGTCGGGTGGTGGAGGGGTACGACACATTTATAAATAACGCGATCTAACCCAAAAACCTTTATTATGAATAATATTGGTCGCGAAAGCCTACGTGTTAAACGGGCAGCCTATTGTTTGTGTTTACCTGCACAGTATTGTAATTGTGATATCCACGGTGTACAATTTATTTTAACCTCCCACCCCCACACCACCGTGAAGTAGACGCAGGTCACGTCCCAGGCTCCGTGTTGTGCCCCAACTGTACCCCGTGGTATTTAAACAACAAAACATTTTGCCCAGGTGAGCACAGAGGAAGGGGAGGGGTGGAGGTGTTTCCAGGCACCAATGGCAACGCAATAACATCTGAGCTCGAGAAGAAGAAA